CGTAAATGTAACTTATTCTTATTCTGAATGTTTTTAGTATATATTATTGTCACATTTCAGTATATATTATTCTATATTTCATTTGAGATTTTAATTTTGATATGTCTTTTGGTATGTCTAGTATTACATATACATATGCATTGAGATATATATTGGACAATAATTAATGATATGAAAATGTGGCAAATATAATCTTTGTACATAACATTCAGACTAACGATTAACATTCATATGATATTGGAGAAGTTCAGCTAATTGAGAATATCTTGTGAAATCAAACTTTATTAATTAACATATTTATAAACAAAAGGCAAATATAATATGTGTACGTAGAGTTTAGTATTTGAACTACACATAATGACAATTAACATTCATAGTGCGTTCCCCACAGATGTTGAGAAGGTGGAGGTTGTTGAGAAGTTCTTCATCATAGTGTAAGGGGTAGAGGTTGACTGTTGACAATTTCTTCATCATGCTGGAAATTTTTGTCATGCGTTCGCCAAGGATGTCAACCGTTTCTTCTATTCTTGTTGCAAACAAGTTGAAATCACTTTACAACTGGTCCTGTTGTTCTTACATTTTCCTTTCAATACGTGAAAAACTCTCCTCTTGAAACCTTTCGATTCGCTCAAATCTGCTTACTATTTCTTCTAACGTATGAGAAGAAATTATTATACATTCTGAGAAGATCTAAGTTTAATACTCATTCTTCTTCTTTTGCACACATAGACTCGTCCTTGATTTTCCCTTTCTGAAACAGGGACACCTTCCTGAACTGTTGCCTCTTCCTCTATTTCATCCCTAATCAGAATCCATTCTCCTGCCACATTCTTTTTAATCAAACCCATTTTACACAATTTAACATCCTCCAACAAATTATTTGCAGAAAATGTAATCTTGTTGGCTTCATCAGAAGGGGTGATCTCTAAACCCAACTTCTCACATATTAATGTAACAAGCATCCCCCAATTTATTTCTCATTTTTCTGCTTTAATCTCTTCCAACTTCTTAATCAATAACTTTGTTGAATTTATTTGCCTCCCTCTTATTGCTGCTTCCATGAACAATAAATCATTGAGTGTCACATTTCCATTTGTCTCTTTCTTGCCATTAAATGTGAAAGTCAGAAATCTGTGAAAGACTCTCATGGCAGGATTCTTTAACTTTGTAGTTTACACCTATGTGGATGGTAAACCCCTATTCCAGAAACATCCATCCAAGCTTGTTTGGAATCCCACGTTCTGGATACGTTATCTAAACCTTCAAAATCAAACCCTATCCAGATTGCTAAATCATGTGGCCTCATTGCACAATTCTGATTCTTTAATCTAAAAAACATTGTATACGCTAGAAAATCATCAGTATCTGTCTTCACAACTTCCAAACTACTAAAAAACTTATAAATCAAATGCTTATATCCATTATATCTAATGCTCACTAATTGGTCCCATTTCAAATTATGGATCCAACTATTAATCTCATCACCTAAACCCAAATTTGCTATAAATCTTAAATCCAAACTTCTTCCAAGATAAATATCTCTTTTCGCCATCTCTTTGTATTGCTTTTTATGTTGCAAGTCTTGAAATTGGACTCCAGATGACGATGTGCCTCCATGAGGAATTGTTGTATTTTTTGCTCTTTACCATTTTCTGCTTTCTTCTAAAACCAACAACTTCCTGGAAAAAACATATCCATAGGTAATTCAGCAGATATTAAAAAAAAAAAGAACTATAATGAAAAATCATATTTAGTGCCATTCATGTCTAGATTGTAGCATTACTTACAAGAATATCATCACCTTGAAGTAGTTATGAATTATGTGAACTATAAAATGTTCTAAACAATGATAAGTCACTCCCACAGGTTCAACAAAATGGGTGAGATTCTACAATGTGAGTAAACACTAATAAAAAAAAATCATGTAATGTAGTTCATAGGTGTCCCTTCTTCTTTCATTAATTTATAAGCTTCAACTGCTGCATTTGGTTCATTTTCGGCATAACCACCAATGAGTGCATTCCAACTCACAATGTCGTGCTGAGGCATCATCTGGAATACCCAATTTGCCTCAACCATCATATCGAACTTAGCAAACATGCTGACCATGCATTGCCAACGAACAAATTGTCATGTAGGCCCATACGAGTTACTAGAGCATGAACAATCTTGTCTTGAACAACCAAGTCAGGATCTGAACAAGCAGCCAATGCACTTGTAAAAGTCACATAGTTGTATATTTTTTCCAGCTAATAATATTAATAATAATTAGTTATGGTTTTCTTGATATTTAGTCTCATCCATCTATTTCTTCTTCACTTGCCCATGTGATTTCAGTTCTCTGTCTCTCTAAATCCAGTGACCAATTTTCCATTTCTTTCCGTAACATTATCTTTTGTTTTTGTTTTTTCTTTTTTAATGGTTTTTGGTTTGGTTGTTTTTGACATGGACATATAGTTCAGAGACATTGACAGTGAAGCCAATCTAAGTCATCCCTTTTATTTCTCTGTCTTTTTCATATGCAATTGTAAGCTTCAAAAGCCAGACACGACACAGCCCAGATCAGATTAAAGCATTAGGAAGCTGATCTTGAAGCACTTGGGTGATGGGCTCTTAATACCCAATTTGCCTCAACCATCATACCGAACTTAGTAGACTAATGCATTAGCAGACTTAAGTTACTATGCTAATTCCACTAACTGAATTATTCCTTCCCCTAGCACACTTACTCTTCACACAACAATATCACCTAACCAACCTCCACTAACACATGCTCAGATGCCGCTCACACCTCCTGCCATCTTTTACCCTTATGCCCTTTATACCCCTTCTTACTGATGGAACTCTCTGCCAATTTCACACTCTAACCAGCAAGCAATAGGCAACAAAAATGTAGATAACACAACAAAAATTCTGGAAGAGTTTTGATGCAAATTCACATATTTGCACAACCAATAACCAAAATTCACATCAATACAAATAACATTATTGCACAACCAATTAACATTATTGAACAACCAATTAAATATGCCTCATTCATCAATACAAATAGCATTATTGCCCAACCAATTAACATATGTCCTTCGGAGAGTTTTGATGCAAATTATTAGGGCTTCTACCAAGCAAAACCCAACCAAATAATAACCCAGCCAATTATTAGAGTTTTGAACTTTCTTCAATGAACGATAAGCAACAAAGAAATGAAGTACAAAACAAAAAATACTCACAGGTGGTTTAACTGTGTAGTCTAGCTAGAGTCAAGACGATGAATATGAAGAAGTGAATAATGACGACAGATAATGTGGCTTCAACGGTGGCAGATGCAATGTTTCTACTGTTTTGCATTTTTTGAATTAGTTTTGGAACCCAACAATCCCTAAACCAGTGAATTTTTATTTTAAATTTATGTTTTTATTATTTTGAAGTTAGTATGGACACTAATCCATCTCATGCGGACGACCATCCATATATAAGGGACAACTCTCCACACTTGATGGACTGGCGTCCATATTGTGTGCATTTTTATTTTAAAATAATGTGCTATTACTTTTAATAAAATATGGATGCTAGTCCATCTCATGTGGACGACCATCCCTATAAAAGGCATGATTGTCCACACTAGATGTACTGGCGTCGATATTGTGCTTATATGGATGACCATCCATATAATTTGGATGGTCGTCCATACTAAAGGGACGCCCGTCCCTAGTATTTGGACGGGAGTCCATTGATTTTTAATTTATTTTTAAATATTTTTTTGGACTCTCGTCCATTCCTTCAGGAATGGACGGTTGTCCAAAAATGTTGGACGGCCGTCCATTCACGGAAGTCTTCTATCGTGTTCTACGTGGCGACGTCCGAGTCAAGTGTCACGTATATCGATGCAAAATTTCGATACCAACTTTCGATGTACATAGCATTTTTGAAATAGGAATAAAGAGTATCAAATTTAATACATATATTTACAACAACTTTGAAATTATTTTATATTTAATATCAATTTTAATATAGTTAAACTAATATTGGATAAATTGAATTTTATATTTAATAATATTGCAAAATATTAAATTTAATATATTTAAAGTTCTTACAAAAAATTAATGTATTTAAAATTCCAAGAAAAATATTTTATTAAAAATAATATTATATTTTTAAATTTAAAATTTAACAGATAAGAAAAAACAAATCTGAGAAAAAAAAAAAAAAAAAAATCTAGCTGCGATCTTGAGATTGTAGCTTGTGATTACTTTCTTTTTTTAATTTTATTGTGTCAATTTTATATTTGAGATAGAGGATTCCAGTCTTTTGGATAATATTCTAATCAATGAAAATTTTGTAGGGGTAACATAGTGAAGTTATTAATAAAATATGGATAAATTGGCAATTGCAATGGTCAAACTTGGTCTCCCATCCATTTTAATGGAAAAGACTAACGGCAGAGGATGTTCTTGGTAGTTTCCGTAGTTATGGAATGCAAAGTGTCAGTCTTTTGAGTTTCAGGTGATGTAATTGTTATTCTTCCTTTGAAAAACTAACCAACATTTTGCAGGTACCTTTGGAGATCAACCGGAGCAACAAAATATATCCTCAGATGGGGTGTTTCCCTTTGTGGACCGCTTAATTCTTCTGAAAATCAATGCAGAATCCCTGCTTGAGTCAATATATTGCCAAAAAGGAAAAGGCTCATGTAGTTACCTAAAGGAACAAAATTAATTTTATTATGAGCTTACAGAAACAGCTGCACAGGTGAATCTAAAAACTCAAACTCCAATCAATTGGAGTGCAAAGATAACTTTCAAAGCATGCCCGACTGCCCACCTAGACAGTGTCCCAGTTGAACAGTCAGATTGAAAAGAAACTCTCCCTTACAATTTCAGGAAGTAAAATTGTTACAATAATATCATGCTCATCAGTTGAGACATGAACTGAACTCTGCTGGGAAACACCTGAAGAAACACCAACAAACCTTTTTTTTTTTTCTTTTTTGGTGGTGTTCTCTTATAAGTATTTGTTGTGTCAATGACAGATGATAAACATGGTGAACTTGATGCTCTAATTTGATGCAGTCAGGAAATTAGGATTGAATTACCTATCCCATATAAAAATTGCACTGTTTTTTTCTCTGGCTGAGACGCTAAAGATCGCCAAGTTCAATTTCTTTCAAGTTGTTGACAATGTCTTCAACTCTTATAGACATAAACTCAGCATGTTCTTCAAGCTCTTTGAGAACCACGCGTATCTGTTGTTGGACTGCCGCAGACCGCTCTCTTTCATGCTGAAGTTCGTTGTATAGATCCTGGATTTTTTTGTCTTTCTCTTCCTGCACGTTTCATTTTAATACCCATTTATTAATGCAAGATCAATAAGAGTACAGAAAACTGTTAATAAAAAATTTGCGCCAACAAAAGCATTCAAGACATGAATGAATTGGCTTCATAACTACATCTCACCTAGGGCAATAGTTTCCACAGAAAGCACCAATTGTAACAACCATAATCCATGCAGCTTCAATTTGAATCTTGTTCAACATATAAATAAAAGAAAGCAAAAGCATTTGCAATTTTACAATGAATATTCAACCTTAACATGGAAACTCTATATGAGAACATGAAATACCCTGTCTAAAAGATGATAGAGATGTGTATTTTTGCTACCTAGACAATTATTTAAAAATATTAATGGTTCTGGAGAATGAAATAGAAACCTTGCTAAAATGAAGTCAAGTGTACATCAGAAAAAGTTATTGTTTATTTTTAAAACAAAAGAAAGGTCGGAGCCCCACTTATGACAGTGTAAATTCATTAGAAGAGGTGGACAGTACAACTGGAAAGACAACGCAAAGTTAGCAAGGCTGACGTACATAAGAGAGTAACTACAATAACACATGGTAGAAGCCTTCCACCTTAACAGTATACCACAGACAACAGGGTGAATAGGCTACTATAAAAATTCCTAAATAACCCACCATTCCATACTTGTCCTCCTAAAATCATCAACAGAGTAAAACTTCTAAAGAAACCCCACCAATAAAGCAGTGAAGTCATGGATTTTTCGGACTTTAGTCGCTTATCTCACTCAGTCCAAGCAAAGGAAAAAAATTAAGAAATTGTGGCAGACACTGCAACTAGTGATGGATTATTTTGTGCAGTAAATAGTAACAGAGGATTTGGCAAAACAGCATCCTGGTTGATGCTTGCAGCAGAAAGTGCGATGCAGCACTTGTAGTAGCTGGTTTCCAATAAATCTCGTTCTGCTTCATCAGAACTACAACACCATTCTGCTGACATTTATTTAAGAGAAGCCATAGTGGTAGAAGAGGAACCAATGATTTATCTAACGGATTGCAACACAGAACAAAATGGTTGGTGGTGACAGCTGTAGCACTTATGGTATACAAATTATGGCAAAACTTGTGATAGAAGCGGAATGTTGATGCCAGAAGCAGGTCTTGGAAAGTTAGTGATACATAGCTAGGAATAAAATCCTTTCTAGCCAAACAGAAAAGAAATGGTAATGTTTTTTCCTGTTCAAGGAAGCAAGCAAAACTCTATGAAACCGCTGACAGAATATTCACAAGTCTGTTTAGTATTTTCTCTCTGATCCTATTTATGATTAATTTTCAATTTTTCTCTCTATTCTACATTTTAGTGTAAATAATATAATGAAAGTTTTAGTCATAAGCTTGACCAATTTAATCATGAATGCAACAAGACAAACAAGCACAAAGACTTACATATGAATGCACTCAAATTCAAATTTGCTGCAGGGACAAGGGTAAAAGAAATTGAGGGTTGGATATCACCAAAATCCAATGACAGATTGAGCACCTCAACAAATTTGTTAAGAACTAAAATATTAAAGCTCTTAAGCCTGAATAATAATATAACTACTGATGCTAAATTGATCAATTACCACCATTTTTTTCAAGCACCTGAGACATACCTCACTAAGTATATTTACAATTGGCAGTTCCCCAGGAAATTTAGAATGAGTCATTAGTTTGTGGTTGTGCTCTCGAACAAACTTAGTAACGACCCATTTACCTCCATCTCTAGCTGCCAACCTTATCATCGCTTTACACCCTTCTCTCGTAACTGGTCGTGGAGGAAGAATTCTGTCTTTCCTAAGTGTATGCTTTGCAGCACGAAAACCTTCTCTAGAACAGACAAAGTCACGGCCAATAATAGCCATGTTCTTTAATGAGTGTCGGATTCTATTTGTTCGAATGGTGAAACCTGTATGCTTGGCATATTCATAATAAAAATCCCTTGCATCGTCTAATGATGGAAAAGTCATTCCTGTACAAGGTTCTAAGCTCTCGGAGCTTTCTGCTGTTAAACCTTCTACTGATGGTATCATCAAATTCAAGTCATCATGAACAATACTCTGTGAATCATAACACTGCAACAGGCCATCTTCCGACGTCTCGTGCTCATCAAAATTTTCGAAAGATTCATTATCTGAGCCACCATCACTATCTACATAATCATGTCCAGTGGAGCCTGCCATTCTGCGCCAACAATATGGAATTCTATCTGTTAAATATTTCGACTTTCCCTAATTTTATATTTTGCAGTCACATCTGGAAGGCATTCCTCATAAGTTTTAGAAAACAAAGATGAGATAAAATAAACACTATCAAAAAACACACTCCTAAGATGACATTGTTCTCCAATGCACTTTCAATATTTGCAGACTAAATGCAAGACAAAGCACCCAAATAGTTAAGAAATGAACAAAACTTTGGAAAGAAAAAGAAGAGAAAAAATTTCCTTCTTTCTTCCTTATATTCAAGTCTCAAATCCACCAAGCATGACAAGACTTTTCAAATCATCAATTCTAATTGCCATAGAAATTGTAGCCCCGACGCTCAGTTACAATAATTAAAAGAATTTTTCCCACTTTGGTTCCTTTTTTATTCTGACAATTTTTTCATTCAAAAAGGTCAGTTATGGAGAGAATATCATGTCTTTCCAGTGAGATTCATTAAATTGTCTTCCTATTGGATTGCCAACATCCCTTACAAACACGAAAGTTTGCCATTCTTGTAAATTCCATATTTAAAGACTATTAATAAAATCAATTGATATGCTTTTTTTGCAAACAAAACAATCCATGGCACCCTACTTCCTTACATGAACTAAAGAAAAATTCATTGGTAAGCTTAATACCGAACACTACACTATAAATTTCTCAGTATGAAAATAACTGGATGAGACTATGCAAGTTGTCAGATAAATTGAACTAAATTTCTCATTTTCAAGAGAACACAAACACCCAAAATTTTCTATCTAATATTTTGCTAAAAATTTTCAGCCACCAAGCAGAGATACAAAGCAAAAAATGATAGTCAGACCAACATAGTTGAACAATCAGTGAATAGCAAATAGTGAAATTTCACTTCATTACCAAACCAATAGTGTTAACTATAACATAATGCCTTTACGCAAGACTCATAGATATACACCTTTCTATATTAAAATGTTGGCATTATATATAATGCAACTCATACTTGAAGGTGAATGTTACACAATTATAAACATTTCCAACTAGTTCAAATTGGGAAATGCAACTGGAACAGTACCGAGCATTGAATTCACTTAAATAAACATTATGCACTTCAATCAAAGCCAATCTTACCATTACCTAACCATTCCCATAGTACGAGACACCTCTAGATTACAAGCTCATAAGTATCATTAGATTAAAATATAATCTGGTCATGACTCCAATACCAACATATTATAGAATGGTTGATAATGTAACCGAATAATGTTACTGGATCGATTACATTACTGGCCAATGATTATCATTGAATTAAAATCCGAATTACTGTAATCAATGCAAGACTTCATTACCAA